CCTTGGGCATGTATCTATCCTAATGTAGAACATTTAACCAATGAGAAGATTGATTGTTGCAAGGTATGGATTCCCATTGACTAAGGTATTCAAATTTATTTTATTCCATTTCTTTCTTTCATATTACTTCATTTTATAATAGTTTGTTTTTTTTTATACAATAGATGGTCACGACTGGGTCAAAGGTCCAACGTGATTACATATGTTGTATACGTATTACGTCTAATATTCGATAATTAAAAGCCAAAGAGATATTTCATTTATTACAACTTTCAATATATATTTCTTAAATGATAATAATTCTAATTTCACAAGTTCTATAAAATAATATAGTTTTTGTGGACTCCTTATCGTAGTTTTGGGTTACAACAACTAATAAATGTTAAGGTTTCTCCGGTGAGTTGTGTTATAGTTCTAATTATATGTTTTGTGACTATTGAACCTCATCCAGCAAGTCAAGTTATGAGACAATTTGACCTTCACCAACCAATTCTAGAAGACCCGATCAATATAGACAAACATCACATGGAAGACATGAGAGGTAGGATGGATAGATTTTAGGCTCACTACCATGGAACTTGGATTACTATGTGGAATCGACTCATTCAAGGAAACAAATTCAGCGAGAATGATCACTTACGTGAAAATAAACATATATGATATGCTATTTTCAACATACTATTAGATATATTTCCTTTATTTGAGAAGAAGATTCAAATAAAAAAGTAAATATATCAATAATTTTATTTTATATATAACATTGATATCAAATTAATATTGATTTTATTTTTCAACGTTACGTTACGATACGTAACAACAGGAACAACCCCAATATATTAGTCAATCTAGTCATCATGTCGGTCACTCGAGTCATCAACAACCTTCTTCATATTTTGGATATGTTGGTTAATTTCAAAATTTACCTGTACAATTTCAATTTGGAGGACAAGGTCCTCATACATTTACTTCGTTTCCATCTAAAACAATCATGTTTTCCACCTCTTCCATGATACCATCATCGGCATACAATCAAGCACTTTTCATGACTACTATGTCTAATATGTCCCCTATATGAAAAGGATGAAAATAATGTTGATAACGATGATAGACAAGTAAACATTCAACCTCAACCATCACAGGGTAGTAGGTGTGTTGCACAAGTACAACAAAAGTCTCATCAAAACCAACCACATAGACCAAGACAACAAATAAGAAGACCACATTGTGGGATAGGGTCTCACCATTAAATTTTTTTTGTGATAATGTATATATGTATGTAATATTTTAATATAAATATAGTAAATTAAATTTAATCATGTTTGTCTAAATTTTTTTATTTTTTATCAAATTAATAATTCAATTGAAAATAATTATTTAATAAATAATATATTTAAAAATAAAATAAAAAATACTATTTTTCCAAAAAAAAAAAGTGAGAAACTTATGTTATCAAACACTTAAAAAAACAAAATTATGCTTAAAAGTACAATTTTAATAAAAAATATGCTTCCAAACACAATTTTATCCTCTAATTCGTCCCTCTCTTGTACTATATTAAGACATGGGAAACCCAAAGAAAATATATGGTTTTGTTGATGCTATGTATGGACTTAACAATCATCACAATGAACTACGGAAGAATCACGTCATAAAAACTAGTTAGCATAGCTGGAGAGTCCAAAGCCTTATCAAAGAGATGGGAAGATTAGTCGAGAAGACACATGTCATGCAGGAGTTTGAAGAGCTTGATGTTGATCAATCTGGTGCACAGTAAATTTATGATTCAACACTTGCTCAGACTTCTTAATTAGACCAAAGCATTATATGTACATCAAGTTGTTATAGTAGTTTGCATATTTTACTTCCATGATGAATGCATACCAGAGTTCTGATGAATTGGAAAGTCCATTTTGGTGGGCATTTATTGATAGCGTCCAAACACAAATATGATTTCTCTAGTACTAGATCCATGCAGTTTGGAGCATTCAAAAAGTATAAATGGAGTATGTCCAACATGTTAGATCTGCAGGATAACATTCATGACAAGTAGTTAATCAAGTCACTCGTAGAAATATTTGCTTATATGACTTTGATTAATCACTTTACACTTCCATCACTTCAGATCTGATTGCATCCATGATTGTTTAACTTCCTATTTTACTTGTTCCACTTCCACTATTTATAGAGCCGAATGGCGAGCCAATTACAATTCCAGCATCTTCAATTCCCTCATTTTGAAAATCTGTGGTTTCTTGACTCCAAATGTTTCATGTGAAGATCATAAAAAATCTGCTTTCCTACTTTTAATGAGAATAAAACTGAACCTTAGTAGTTATGAAACGTAGGCCAATAAAGTATAGATCTGGACTTGCTTTCTGCAGGTTGAAACCGTTGAATGAAAAACACATGACTTGTATTTTATACCAGTAAAGCATACTTCAAAAACACATATTCAAGATCTGAGTTGTCCAAACTTTATCTAACGGTTACAATAGCTAACTGCATGAATGTGTGTTAAAAAATTGACAGCACTGATTTCAGTCCCTGAAAGGTAAAAGCACATGCTCTTGGTAAAAAAAAGAAAAAGGAAAATTTTCAAGCATGTGAATTCAGCTTAAGGTACAGTACCGAAGATAATCAAGTACTACCAATTTTGTTGCTTTGCTTGTCGCTATACTCACAAACCTGATTGTGATGATTAGTTAAATGATCGAGAAACTTAATGGATAGACACTGGAGGTGATTTCAATATATAAAGCTTTGAGCAGAATGATTTTTGTCTAACCCTTTTCAGCCACGAACAAGAGGAAACAAAATTTAATCGATGATGGATATAAAGATATGCAATAGTTGTTAGCTAGTCGCTATAGCCTTTACTTTCTTGCCTTACAATAATGAAGGTATTATAGCTAAAGTGAGTAAATTCAGACCTACCTTTAATTAGTTTACAGAAGTTCCTACCCTTGTGGTCAGGTTGGGAAAGGTGGAGGAGATATAGTGAAGAGAAAAATTTTAATCTAAAGGAAAAGTGAAACAAAACATGAATTTTCGTTTATAAAAGTTAGTTTTCTCTCTTTTCTTCTCTATTTTCTTGCCTTCCATCTAAACATAACTAATGTAATTGCTCAGGGTTCAACATGAGCAGCATTTACAGCCATAAGGGCCATAAAAATGAAGATGGTATAGCTGAGTTGAGTAAATTTAAACCTACCACTTTATTAGATTTGAAATTAACACAGCCCTACAGGTAGGAGAATTAGAGAGAAAATATGTACTGTTACTCTTCATGGATGAGAGCATTTATAGCCATTACAAAGAAAGGTAAAGAAGTTCACAACACAACTGTGCTGGCTGTGATATACTAATTTAGTCTTTTAATCCCTTTATCTATAGTTGAGCAGCATCCTCAGTTGTATGATATCTGTGATCTACTCTGGCCTATGCTATGCTATGCTATCACCATCTTCTCTTCACAATTAATCACCTACAAAAACAAGGGCACAAACTATGTAATTAGTTTATATCTTCAACATTCAAATTCAAATTTTCATGTAGATGCCTTGAAAAATACAGTACTAAGCACGTGACAGTAGCACTGTGCAACCAACATGGATGGCACATGGGGCAAGTACGTTTAAATTATTTTCCATCTCTGCATAATTTAATCATAACATCAGATTTTGAAACCAACACAGCAACACCAATAGAGGCATAAAAGTCATAAGGTTTTTTGGAATCATTGATGTATGATAAAGTAATTGATGCAACGGAAAGATTGAAAATTTGATATTATAAAAACATCATGTATAAAAAATATTTCAATTTAGTGTTTATGAGAGAATAGACAAAGTTGTTGCCGACATTGCCACGCATATATATGCAGGTGACCCTGCCAATGATGACTCATCGGTGACCTAAGCATTACCCTATGAAGGTTGAGCACAGTTCAGTCTCAGTGGTTTCAACTTTACGAAAAATAAACTTTTTATATAAGCAATTATTCTTTTGATTGCCAAACATACACTGTGGCAACCCCAGAACATTCCCATCTTCTTTGACTCAAATCTATCCCAAGATACCCATTCAATTAAAATCTTATAAACATTGAATCATGTGAATAACATTCAAGATTAAAAATCATTCCAAAATCACGTATATGCAGCAGTCTTTACATGCTCATGAATGATTTAGGACTTTGGTTGTGTGGATAAAAAATATAGGAGATACATTCTGAAATCTGATTAAAAAGAAAAAAAAAATTGATTTTTTTTTATTTTTTAATTGTAGAAGCCATTTTTCCTTTTTTTTTTCTTACTTTCTTCGTAAGCAAACAAAAGATAAGAACTTTTTAACTTTATTTTCCTTTTGTCCAACCAAATATGAAATTAGTATTTACACGTTTAGCATTTTTTGTCAAATTTTTCAAAAATTACATTACACTTACACCAACATCCAGACATTCAATTCAGCTGTAAAGAATAAAGTGAGTAACAATAAAAGAAAAAGTTAAAACAGATAACAATAATTGAGAAAATTTGTACCATCCAAGAGTGTATATTATCCTTTCATTCAATCTGAATCACACATTAATACGTAGAGTAAATGTAATGAATTAGATTCTCATTCATTATAATTTTTATAATAATTATAAAAAAAATAAATGTATTAACGAATTAGAAAATAGTTAGTAATGAAAAAACATAATAAAAATTGGTTCTTCAGAAATGGTTGGCAAGAGTACCTTTCTGGATGAAAAACAATAAAAGACAAGCTTAAAAGATGGTAAGTGAGATTCTCCAAAAAATTAGACATCATTAAAGTCATACCAATAAGATGATTATGAAAGAAATATAACATCCAATTACATAACACAGATATGGAATAATGGAAGTGTGTGCCATCGTAAAAAGAAAATTATTTAGGACAAGAACTGTAATGGAAAGAAAATAAATTGAGGGTTTGCTTCTTACAAGGACAGACATTTTCTCTCATTGGGGCTTCTAATCGGACTTGTGGGCATCGAACGGCGGATCGGGGTGGTGACCGGCGACATAGTGGAGGAGGTCCTCGGCGGGTTTGGGAATGGAAGCTTCGGAGTTGGGGGGAGCTTGGGTTTTGGCGAAGAAGAGAACAAGGAGGAGGAAGAGCGCGGTGGAGAGAAAGAGAGGCCAGAAATAGGCCAAGACGTTGAGGAACCTCGGCACCAGGAAGAGGAAGGAGAATATCGCCAGACACACCAGTAGTGCGCCTCCGATGTAGTACCTGAACTTCAACAGTTCTTGTTTGATCTCCATTGAAGAAGAAAAGGGTGGAACTGTGATAGATGGAGAGTGACGATGACGATTCTGAAAGCGATGGGTTCGTGAGTGTGAGGAAGAGAGGTTTATAATGTAGAAAGAGGAAAACGGTGAAAAAATTATTAACGTAAACGACAATTTTTTATTTTCTTGATAATCTGAAATTAAGATATTATTGTCTGTTTTACAATAAGAAATTGTAGTTTGTTTGAAATTATGAAAAAATAATATTTTTAGAAATTATTTTTCATTATACAAGGAAAATATATTTTTTATGATATAAGAATAAAATTTCAATAGAAAATATATTTTAATGATTTTTACCTATATTTTTACTAATTAAAAACATAATTCTCATAACTAATGTTCAAAAAATCATGATTTTTATCGATATTTTTCCTAATTAAACATAAATTAAATTGAATAGTAAATTTTTTTACGTAAATGTGAAAAGTTGAAATACTTTAATTAGCTGAACAACACACTGTTTTAATTTAGTTTTTAACATGACAAAAGTATAATAATTTTGTCATATATAAATTAAGCTTTTTAAAAATATTTTATCCTTAACAATAAATAATTTCATAATCAATTTAAGAAATTTATAATTTAAAACCCAATTTGTTATTAAATTTTATTAGAAAGTAATTTTTTTTTATAAACTGTCGTTACCTAGGTACATGTTCCGGAACAAAACGGTGATTTAGAAAGAAAAACAAAAACATTGTGATTATGTTTGCAGAGATTCTCTTTCAGACATTTTTCACTCTGGCTATTGTTTTATCCTGTGTGGAAATTACCAGAATGGTCTTGCACTTTGTCACTTTTATTTCCAAGTTCCTTATTCTGGTTTAATTGTTTAATAAATTATAAAATTTGTTTGATAAATTACAATCATTGGCTGAATGAGTTTTTTAATTATTTAAAAAAAGTTATAATTTTTTTTATATAACAAAAAATATCCAATGCCATTCGAAAACAGTTATTACTCCTTAATTATTACATTAATTGAATTTTTTTATTAGCATTTATAATTTTTAATCTTTCTGGCTTTGTTTTTATTTCTCTTGCTTATTTTAACATTTATTAGGAATATTTTATTTGAAAATGACAGTAATATTTAATTAAATAAGTGTGTGCATTGAATGCCAAATATTATGCATTCAGTGGTTGATGAGCACAAGTACTCAAGCTCACGTCTTCCTTCTTCTTTGTTTGATTTTGAATTTTATTATACAAACGTCAAATTTTCTATTTATTTGTAGTTTTTTATTTTTTTTTCATAAATGTATTTTATTATTTTTTTTATCTTTTTTTCTATATGCCTCGGAAAAATGTGAAGAGAAAACAAAATTTTATCTTGAAATTTTAATAATAAAAGAAGTACCCTATAGTTTAATGAAAAAAGAGAGTAAATAGTAATAAAAAAACAGAAATATTATAACTCATTTATTACAAAGAAATAAGAGAAGAAAAAAACAAAATGATGATGAAAAATATTTTTATATATTAAATTAAAATTTTATTTTTATCATGAGTTATTTAATTTTATTAATATGATTTATCTCTTTAAATTGTTTTTGTAATTTTAGTAATAATATTATTTTATTATAAATTATAATTAATATATTGAGGGATAGATCAAATAATTCATTAAAATATTTAATATTATTTGAGATAATAGACAAATACTGATAAAATAAAGATAAATATTACATGATTCTTGAACAGTTATGCTCACATGCTATTATATAAAAAATTTGATATCTCTTTTATTTAGGTAAGTAAGTATTTCTTTATCATTTTATTACTCATTCATATAAATATTTGATGATCATTATGAGATTAAAATAAAGTTCAAGTTCGCTCTTTTTTTCTTAATTCTTAGCTAAAGATTATGTTCTAATATCTTTTTTAGTTCTCGATTGAATATTTTATATTCTTTTTTCTTTTTCATATTCTCTTATGATAAGAACTCTTATCAACAACTCGTATTGGATATGTTATAAAATGTCATTTATGTTTTCATGCATCTCTATAAACCATGATTTAATTATTTTAAATATAATTTTTATTAGGATATATATGAATGAGATTCATGCTCATTTCAAAATAGAGTTTATGCACTCATTTATGTTTATTATCATATTTCAATTTCACCCCTTATCATACACTTAAATTCACTTTTCTTATAAAATTTTATTTAATCAAAAAGTAATCTTTTTCCACACTTTATAAAATATTTTAACTTGAAGTAGTGATAACTTCATCTTATATCCAATGATAAAAAATAATAAAAAAGTAATATTTTTACTTTGTTTAAACTACACTTATTTCATTACATCTTCTTTAAATTGTGTCATAATGTTATTTTTTTATATTTAGCTAATATATATTTGTACTTTATTTATATTTTTTATGTTTATTATCTAGTTCTTTTATGAGCATATTTTTTATTTTATTTTACGTATGTGTGTTATTGATTTTGTGTATAATTTTATATAATATTATCATCAAAACAACAATACTCTTATCATGATCTATTTATGATCACGAGTGCAAAAATGGGCTTTTACGTCATGTATTTAGGGCTTTTTATGTCGTATTTAAGTCCGATGTTAAAACGGGAGACTTAAATTTACGTCGGACCGTTTAGCCCGACGTAGATTTACGTCAGTTATCAAGACCCGACGTAATTTTGCGTGGCATATACCACTAAACAGACGTAAAAACTTTTGACGTAAATTTACGTCACATATTAGTATATGCGACGCCATATGCGATGTAAATTTGCTGTTTTTTTTTTAAATTGGGTTTATTTATTCTGTTTTACAACTAAAACCTGTAAATATTACAACCAGACAGTTCAGAGGTTCAGTTTTCTTTAGCTAGTAAATTAAAAATATAATATTATATAATTCAAACTACATAATAAATCAATATAATACAAACATACAAACTAAAAAATCTATTACAAACTAAGCTACCTAAACTACATAATACACACAATATAATATGAACAAGAACTTAAAAAATTATGTACTAGAATTGTTGAACAAAAAATTTTGCCCATTGTTCTCTAATTTGTGTAATATCAGATTCTGGTAATGGAGATGAATCTTGAAATACCCGAAATGTAACCCCCTTACAGATTACATTTATTAATTCAAATTTATTATCTAAGTTAGTAATATTTTCAATATTCATAGAAGGTTAATAGAAAATATACTAAGTGAACAATTAATTTAGGTAAGATTTTATATTAAATCAAGCAACAAGTTCTAGTACAAAGTTTTCAAAATATTACAAGTCATGAAGTTATACTTATATGTTATACAATTCCCAGCCTAAGCTCGGATTTTTGCATCCGACATCTATCTCTTGGACTATATATTCCTGCATCATACGTCACCAACATCTGGGATTGAAATATTTATGGGGTTAGACATTTAATTTTATCCACAACAAATAAAACAAACATTCATACGATAAAATCAACCAATGAAAAATTCCTTCTAATAAATATACAACCGTATATAATTTAATTTAAAAATTAATTATGAGAAACAAATAAATAAATCATGGAATCATAATAGAGAATATCGTACAAATCATGAATAATTTACAATTTTATCATGCAATATGTTTATGATATGCACATGTGACTCCAAACGTAAAACTTTAAAATCATGCTTTTGACTCAAAATAAAAAATTATTTTTGACTCAGTGCTCCATGGAGACTCATTTGAGTGTCTAGTGGAACCAGAGCTTAACATCACCCTGTCCGGTGATTCGGCAATGTCCCACTAAACGCGAACAAGTAGACAGTAGTCGAGTGTCAGTGCACCCGGCAGCTACCACGGCACGAGAATCAAATAAAGACTGGCCACTTATGGAATTGCCCATGCCCAAACACTCCCTAGACCGGAGGTCCATCCCCATAGACCAGAGGTCCTGTCTTACCTATTCTAATCCCCCATTTACTATCGGAGATTCTGGTAGCTCAATTTTTAATAATTCATTCTCTGTCTCATTTGGCCAGCCATTTTCATAGTCATATTTCACTACCAGATGCTCTTGATAGTAAATTGACTCACGAAAATGTAAAAATTCTGTTTTACACATCATTATTCCTACCAACCGTCCTTGGTAGCAACTTAAGAGAAATTTCCAAATACTTTTCTCGTAAAAACTTTTCTGTGACTTCCAGAAAACATTTCATGCACTATGTTTATGTCTCGTATGAAACAAAACAATCTATCATCAATTAAATACTTAAAAACATCTCCTTCATATATTCAAAATTTTAATTACAATTCATAGTTGTTTTAAGCAAGACAATTTTTATTAATAATTTATTTCATAGGGTTCAGTGTTTTGTCCATATCTTGAGTTCTAGACCTCATTTTAAGATGATTCCAATTGTGTTGGAAAGATAACATAATAATCTATAACTTTGATGAAGGCACTATCCTCAAATTCTAACGTTTATTGAGTCGTTTTCCTAGTAAACAAAGAGGAGGTAATATACTGTTTGACTTTATTTCGATTATACCCTTAACCTTTTTCAAAATTCCATTTATGTCCCTAATATGTGAAATGACTATTTTACCCTTGATCTTTTGCAAAAATTCCCACCTAGTCCTTTCTTCTTCCTTCGCTCGCTCAAGCGAGTACACCGGTCGCTTGAGCGAGATGGAACCCGAGAGTCCCCTTTTGTTTGAAGGCTTCGTCGCTCAAGCGAGTACATCGGTCGCTTGAGCGAGTAATGACCCGAGAGTCCCCTTTGTTTGAAGCTTTCGTCGCTCGAGCGAGTACACTTGTCGCTTGAGCGAGACATGACCGTTAGTCGCTCAAGCGATGTAATTATCGCTTGAGCGATAAAGAACCCGAGAATCTCAAAATTTCCAGGTATCCTCGCTCAAGCGACATATTTTTCGCTTGAGCGAGTTTTGCAGATTTTCATCAGTTCGCCATTTTCGAAATCCAAGTTTCA